AAAGCCAATCTCAAAGACAGTGAGATAATCAATCCATTTTTTAACACTGGGGAAAGACATGGCACTTTAAAAACAAAATTATCTGTTCTTCCCATTTTCTATTCAAGAATACAGCGTTTAAGAGTGTGGGGGAAGGAAATTAACACCTGATAAATTAGTATCTCAACTCTTATTAGCATTCTTAGACTGTGACCTTCTAGAAAGGGAAGCAGTGAACATCAAAACTAAAAATCTAATGTGGCACACCAAGACAGAAATTGGATTATTCCATTTCCTTAATCACCTAATCCTATGAAAAAAATGAACCTAATGAAACACTTGCCTTAAGACAAGACATGTAATAGATTTTCTTGATATTTGTACAAAATGGCAAATACAGGCTAAGGACTATTATCAGATGGATAACTGACTATAACACTAGTCTCCAAGTAAGTGAGACTTTTCTTCCATGGTATTCACAAAGATTATGTTGTGCTACGTTAACACTTTCTCAGCTTTCAAGATAGCTCATCTACTGGTAAAAAGGGAGCCAAAGTAGAGAACTAGTTGACTGTGAATTATTTACCACACAATTACATGCAGATTTTAAAGCCTGATAATTGCAGGTATTGGAAACAATGTGAAGTACCCAGACTTCTAGGGGAGGATTTAAAGCGGTAAGAAATGCCTCTGCAATACCTTTGGTGGTGGTGTGTCTGATAATGCTGAATATGCATGTCATGGAACATGGAAATTCCAACTTCTAGGTAGACACTCTATGGTTACATCAGGAGATGTACATAAGAGTACTCATTGATGATCATGTTTAAAATGGCCCTGGCCTGGAAATATTCAGAATGCCTATGAATGGTTAATTGATCTGTGATTTGTGTGTTTGTATCCATGTATATGTTTCATGGTGTGGAATACCATGCAGCCATGAAAATGAACACATTGTAGTGAAATTCAGTAGTATATTGAGCAAAAGAAGTATATGCACTATGATCTCACTTACATACAATTCAAACAAAAGACAGCTGAAACTAGCATGGAGTGCTCTGGGCCATTGGCTGCTGTGGGGCCAGTGCCTTCATGTTGGGGAAGCTCTGATCCTACAACATTATTTTTCAGGAAGAAAACCTCACTCCCTAGATGGATCTAGGATTCTGGTTTCTCTTGTGGAAGACTGTAAATTGATTTATCTATTTTGAGATCTATACTTAAGTGACAAATTATACAGAAAAGGCAGGATGAATTTACCATAAAAGCCAAACTTGGGCCCTCCCTGGTGGCGCAGCAGGTTAAATCAGCACTGAAAAGCTAAAGCCACTTCAGCATGAGTTCGATCCCTGCCCTGGAGGTGATCCATATGGTGCGGCAGACCTCTCCTGACACGCCTACTGCTCCCCTCAGCAGTGTACTTCGTCAGTCAGCCCGTTCTGCTCCCCACTCTGTCTCTGATGAATCCTCTCACTGTCTCTGCACCTAGGGCCTATACATAAATAAATAAATCTTAAAAATAAAAATAAAAAAAAAAGCCAAGCTCATAAGGACAAGCTAAAATTAGGAGGGAAGGAGCCTTAATTCTCCAGTGTGGGCAGTGTTCTGTTTACTGACCTGAGTGCTGGTACAGTGGATATTTCCTTTGTGATCAGTCATAATTTTTGTGTAGCACACATTTCTACATGTGCGCTGTATTTTATAAATCAAGAGTTGTGTATTTTCTTCTATATTATTTCCAAAGAAACTTCAAAGGATGGATATATAATAATGTTGATTTGGTTATAGATTGTGTTCTGAGATGATGAGCTTAAATGTTCCTAAGTCACCTTGGAAATTGTAATTGGATTTGTTTCCCGGGAGAGCCAGGGGAAGACAATCCCAAATCCTGAGAGAAGGGAGGGGCATGACTTCCTGCTCTGCTCTTTACTGCTGTCTGGGGCCTGGCCAATAAGTCTGAGCGGCAGTGAGGAGGTAAGGACACTAGCGATTCTTCTCCTGGAACCCATAGGAAAACTTGCACCCTGTGCTAGGGTGCAAGATTCTAGACTGGTGAAACTCTGCTCCCTGTGGGGTTAATGGGATTTCTACATATGCAACTTCAAAAGACTTGTAGTCTTGAGGAGGTGAGGGTTCCATCTCTTTGTGGAAAGTTCACTGAGTAAACTAGAGCTGGTGGTGATTCCAGGTAAGAGGTGAACTGAATGTGTTTCTCTTTTTCTTATGTTTGGAGTATTAGTGTGAAGGAAGATAGCTGAGCTGTCAGTAGAAGGAGCTGCTGGGTGGGAAACACTCATAGGATATGGGGTGGCTAGGACACTCCGCCCAGTGGAGGTAGTGTCAGAAGAAGTCAGGGCCCTTCATTTATTTACTCATCAAGTGTTACCAAGCACCTACTGGTGTTAAGTACAATTTGATAAGATGAGAACACAACAGTGAGGAAGGAATCTCTGCTTGTTGAGATGTTTATATATTCAAGCATGGTAAGACAGAAAATGGACCAAGTATTAAAACTGGCGTTGTGTGTTAGATTCTTCCTAGTGTATAGAAACAACATGGGCAGAAATGCCAAATCTCAGGTTTCATCTGAGACCCTCTGAATCTGAGCCAGCGTCTAAACAATATGTAGTGATGGACTGTCATGGAGAAAAATAAAAGCAGAAGGGAGCAGAGGGTATTCTAAAGGTTGGGGAGGCAGGCCATCAAAACTGAGGGAGACTTTCAAGCTAGGGCTTGGAAGGAGTGTGTGGGTGGGGTTAGATAGGTAAGGAGCTTTGCAGGCTTGGAATGGAGGAAGTACAAGGGCCTGAGGCAGGGATATGTCTGCCATCCCTGGAAGGGGACAAAAGCCAATCTCAAAGACAGTGAGATAATCAATCGGACCTATTCTAGGCATTTTGGGGAGTTGAGCAAGGAGGAAATCTGATCAATTTGGGGGAGTGACATAATCCAGGATTCTGTTACATGAAAAGGATTATTCTGGCTGGTGTTTTGGAGATAGCAGGAATTAGGAAACCAGTTAAAAGATGGGGTAGCCCTGACTCAGCAGAGATGAGGTCGGGCTCGGTAGGAGAATTTGGGTGGAGAGAAGGGGTCCGATTCTGGGTCCAGTGTGAAAGCAGGGCAGGCAGAACCTGCTGGTGGCTCTGCCTGTGCCGTGCCAGCTGCAAGGGAGCAGTGGGTGACTCCTGTGAGAAGAAGAAGGGCGGTAATGGAGATAGAGCGCCTGTGGGGAGGGCACCGTCCCTAAGCCTGTCGCAAGTTCTCTTAGCGAGTGGACTAGGCTCTCCTGGGGGAGATCCCTGCAAGAAGTATAGATAAGTACAAAGAGGAGGGACAGAAAAGAGAGTCCAGGCACTCAGAGTGGCAAAGGAGCCTTTACTGGAGCGCTCCCAGCACCGGGGGTGGGGGGGCGGGTGGGAGTGGGGGGTGTTGGGGGGGTGTCAGAGAAGTCGCACCCAGGGCTTTCTGGGATTTGGTCAAGTATGTGGGAGATAGGGGCTGGGTGCAGCTGGACAAGAGATGGGAGGAGGCTGTAGGTGGTTTTAGATCCTTCTCAGTCTGCTTCTGTGCCGCTGTCTCTAGTGTCAGTCAAAGAGTAACACACGGTCAGGTCTCAAGAGCCCCTTCCCTGCCTCCCTAGGGCCCCAGGAACCCATGTATCTCTTGGGTGACCTTTCAATCCCTAAACAAAAGGAATTGTCTTCCATAACTTGATTTCGACTCGGCATTGTTTGCAAGTTTTGCGTTCCACTTTGGTCCAGCCAAGTGCATCTTCATATGAAGCTTCCCAACTAAGAGACCAAAACCAGAGGGCATGAACCCAGGCTTAGGAAGTAGGCAGCAAAGTCAGCCTAGCAGGTGCTTGAAGAAAGGGGTGAAGTTGACTTATATTCTACATTGGTGTAG